GCTCTCTGGCTTTCATCACATAGATTGCTATTGCAGGCACTGGTTTGCTGATATTTAATCCTGGCAGGTTAAATTAGATAATACATTCTGTGCCTAAAACAGCTCACAGCATATAGAGATTCTGGAGGAAGCGGCTGTTACGATTGCGTTTCACTAGGTTTGTGCTTCCTTATCAAAGCAGCTACTATGTTGTCTTATCATTTTATTTTTGTATTACATTCCTTTTGATAAATTGTAGCTAGTCAAGAATAGGGAACTGTTATGGACTGAACTGTGTTCCTGTAAAATTCACATTTGGAGGCCTAGGACTCAGCATTTCAGAACATGACTGGATTTGGAAATAGGGCCTTGAGAGAGGAGGTTAGGTTAGAATGAATCTTTAGGGTGGTCTTTAATCCTACCAGACGTCTGCTATTATAAGAAGAGGAAACTGGGACAGTCAGGAAGATGGTAAGAGTGAGTAACACTGGAAAATATACCATGTGAAGAGGCATCAAGCGGGCAGTTATCAGTGGGCCATGAGAAGAAACTAGCCTTGCAGATGCTTGATCTTAGATTTCCAGCTTCCACAGTGGTGAGAAAAGTAGAGATTTCTATTGTTAAAGGTATTGTTAAAGGTACCCATCCTGTCATAGTTTGCTATGGCAGCCTAGTAAACTAATACAGGAACTATGATTTTGTGTATTCATTCAATGAACATGCACAGAGCATCTACTATGGTTGATTTCTATACCAGGACATAGAACATGGATAAAGGAAAGGAAGGTAAAGGCTTCTGCTCTCTGGAAGCTGATAGTTTAGTGCAAGAGACTGACAATCAGAAGACAGCACAAGCCAAGGTGGTCTGAGTGAGGAAGAAGGGGCTGTGTGTGCAGAGCAGGGTCAGGGGGACACAGATAAGGAAGGAGTCTTAAGATGTATGCATCCCCAGTGTTCACAGCCAGTTCTCTATATACTGCTGACTGTTATTGAAGGGATGTTAGTCGGACTCTCATTGCTGTGACACAGTATCTGACGTAATTTAAAGGGGAAAGGATTTATTTTGGCTCATGGTTTCAGAGATTTTTGTTGTTTTTAGGCCCATAGCAAAGCAGACACATCATTGAGAAGGATCTTGGGGAAAGCTCCTTACATTACAATAGCCAGTGTATCAGGAAGAGACTAGGGCGAAGATATACCCCTTCAAGGTACCCACTATTGACCCACTTCTAAGTAAGCCCTGCCCCCACCATCCATAATTCCACCACCTCCAAACTGACTATTCAAAATATGAATCTAATAAATGGGTTAAACCACTGATTAGGTCAGAGCCCTCTCAGGCACCCAGAGATGTACTTTATCAATCCCCTAGAGGTTGCTTAGTGTAAGTTGGTAATCAGGATTTATTATCATAGAAGGCAGTCGTATTGCAATCTTCCGTGTGGAATAAAAGGAGTTTTTAGTAGTCAAGGAAAGAGAGCTTGGGGCAGACTGCTAGGTGCAGACTGTGTAAGGCATGCGGAAGCTGAGGCTGTAGAATGGCTGAGGGATGAAGAGGAAGTGGGTTCTCACTTCATCCTGCCACAAGCTGGGGGTGACCTGCTGCCACACCCTTCCTCTGTCTGTGCCTCCATTTCCTCATCTTCAAAAATAAAAAGGTTAAAGTAGTTAATCTCTTAGTTCCTTGATAGCTCCATGAAATCTTTTCCAAAATCTAGTAATGCTGAAAGGAGGAAAGAAGGAACAGAGAAAGAGGGAAGGGGGTGGAAGAGACAGGAAGAGTAAGGTGGGCCAGCAAGAGCAGAAACAAAAAGAAGAGGGAATTAGTGAACTTGGTTGGCAGGACTCACCCGTGGTTTCAGGCCTTCCTCACACCCTTGATGGGTACTTGAGCCCAGGTCCTGCATTCGTTCCATGGTAGCTGATGGATTCAGCTGTCTAAGGCCTGGCTGTACTAGGCTATACAAACAAGCAAGTTCTTCACACTCCTATGCTTCTGTTTGATTCACGCATACTGTGTGTAATACTAGCATCACAGGGATTCTGTGTGGGTCACTCAAATAATCATCCATCTGTTTTAGCTTGTGTTCTTGTCAGCATCCGTGGAATGGAGCGACTGGAAGAACTGCACTCTTCCAGGTGTTCTCTACGAGTCTCTATAGACTACAGTCTCCTGCTAGTCTAGAGCTAGATCTGGAATCCCATTACGAATATGGTTTATTTTGTGTGTCCTGTGTTGTGGGGTGTGAGGGGAAAGTTCCTTAAAGGGGATCTGTGGAGCTAATAGGTGTGATTCTAGGCTTCTCTCTCCTATAATTCCCTTTAAAACAAAGCTCAGTTAACTGTCACTTTTGGAAAACATGGTTTTCCTTAGGCATGGAATTAATTCAAAGGATGGGGTGGTTCTGGGGTACTCACAGGAACGCTGTGAGTTCAGAGGAAAGCTAAAAGCCAAGCTTGGATTTGAAAATGTGGAGAAAGGACAAGACCTGGGAACTCACATTGCTCCAAAACTGGAGTGTCAAAGATCAGGGAATGGGGAGAGGGCTGAATAAGATGGTGGGTCGGGATCCAGACTGGAGAGCCTAAGGACTCAAAGTCGAAGAGTTGGAATTCCACTCTGCAGACTTTGGGGCGAGTCCTGGAGGTGCTAATGAAAATGGGGTCAGATTATTGTTTCACTTTAGATTAGCAAAGCACAGTCATGTTGGGGGACAGTAATCTAAGATGAATGGTGAGATTAGGGATTATGGAGATGATCTGAGGATGGCTGTCATAATCATCAAACTGCTCACACTTTATAGAAAGAGTACATCACCCTCCCAACTCAGACCACAGACTCTCACTCAGATAGTTAACAAAATGCTCTGCCAGCAATAGCCACCCCATCCCCCTGCAATCCACCGTCTGCTTTCTACTTGTTATGTTACAGTTCATTTAATATGTGGTAGATGCAGTTGACGAATGAGCTTCACAGCCTACTGATGAGTCATGAGCCTTCCTTCAGGGTGAAAAATAATGATCTTGAACAGTGGTTTCCAGAATGTGTTTCAGGCCCCTGAAGAATCACAAAAGGCAGTTCAGTAAGTCAAAGTGAGAGAATAGAACAGCTATTGGTATCGTTTGCTTTCTCTGCTCTAGAATATTTTATTGTAGCAGCAAGGTGCTGGGCACAGTACATACAGATGTATTAGAGGCTTGCTAGCTGATCTTTACTAATAAGATTGGTAAGTTTGGAGACTATAATTCAGAGTACCTTAACTAAGTGAGCTTAATAATTAGAAAGTCATTATACTGTGTCCTTAATGGTTTTCAATAAATACTATACTTCAAATCTCCATTTATTTTTTATTTTTTATTTTTTTAGTGTTTTTGAGACAGGATCTCCCTGTAGCTCCAGCTGTCCTGGAACTCACTATGGATTAAAGGCGTGTGCCACCACACCCGGCTGAATCTCCATTTTTTAACTTGGTCACCATGATGATTAATGTTGACCACCAATTGATTATATTGAGGGACACCTAAGAAATTAGTAAAGCACACTTCTCAGTGTGTTGATGAGGTCACTTCCAGAAACTGTTAACATGTGGGACACCAACTGAGGGGAAAAGACCCATCCTGAATGTGGATGGTGCCATTCAATTGGCTGGATGCTGTGCGAAGCTCCAGTCTTCCTGAGTGAGTGTCTACTGTGTCTGCCATCACTCATAACCATCAGACCCTAGCTCATCAGCCTTTGAATGTGGGTCATCACAGCCACTCCCCAGGGAGCATCTAGGTCTACAGTCTTGGACTAGGGCTGCATTATTGCCTCCCTTTTGTTCTGAGGCCACCGGCTTCTTGGACTGAGCAACTACTGAGTACTCTGGTTTTCTAGCCTGCAGATAGAATGTCCAGAAATTGGCAAAGTTAAAAATTTCTAGGGTTCTTCTAGTACTTAAAAACTTTATTTTTGTGTACTTGCTTACATTTCCTAAAAGCACATAAGCTTCTCGAATGCAGAGACATACTATCTATAGATCTCTCTCTCTCATTATCTATCGCTCTATCTCTCTATCTATCATCTATCTATCTATAATAAAGTATGTACATGTATACACTGTATTGGTTTTGGTCTAGAGAGTCCAGACTGGTCATTTGTAGCTTGAAACACATTCTGCAGCAGGTTTTTCAGATTCTGTGCTGGAAAGTGGTACTAGCCTGGCCTATGAAGAGAGGTGTTGGCTCCCAGTGCTGTTCCCATCATTGTTTGCTATAGGACGCTCCCTGGGCAAGGCAGTGCTCCTCTGTGGTCTCCACTTCCTTGTTAAGGTGACAGAATGCATTTGTTGTCTTTATATTCCTTTCAGCTCTCTAAGCTTTTATAAGTCTGTATTTGGAAACTCTTTAATCTTGTGTTTTTTGTTGTTTTTTGTTTTGTTTTGTTGTTTTTTGAGATAGGGTCTCCCTGTAGCCCCAAACGGGCCAGGAACTTAATATGCAGACCAGGATGGTTTTGATCTCACAGAGATCTGCCTGCCCCTGCCTCATGTCCAGCACAGGGAAACAGTGTGGGGAGAGCGATCAGAGCCGCCTTGCTCTCCCGTTATCATTGCCATTCATTCCTAAGAACTTGTATTGATTTATCTTTCAAACAAGAAGTTTTAATAACCAACTGCATATCTTTAACTTAACTAGCCAGACTGAAAAAGCCAAACAAAGAAACAAACCAAAAAGCCAAATACCAAGATAAACAAAAAAACATACTGAAAACACAGGTAAAGATGGATCTGTTGCCATTTCCTGGAAAGTAACTTAACATCTCTTACTCAATTGCTCATAGCCTGGAACAGTTACAAGCGTCTTAAAAGTCAAGTCCTGTAAGAATGATGTAGAAAAAGGGTGACTCAATTAGGACAAATATTATCATTTTAAAAGCCTATTTTATAACAGGCAAATATAATAAAATAGAAATTAGAGAAGCAGCATATACACAGTAATTTAGCATCATCTCAATTTTATTAAACACATACTGTGGTATATATTTCACACCTGGGTGGGGATTCCCAAATGTTAACAGAAACAAGATTGAGAAGGAAGCATGTGGTTTTCCTTTGCTTCTCAGTAAGCTCTTGTATTGTCTGACTTCTGTCAGCATCATCCAACCAGAAGTCCTTATGTATGAATGATGTTTTGTTTATGTTCCAGATGCTGGAGGGAGAGGTGAAAGTGCAATGAATCCTCAAGTTCCACGATTCTGAGAGTGACACACTTGTGAAGGTGTGCATGACCAGGTGTCTCCACCTTGATGAATGATGCTTTGAGTGGAGACAAGAAGTCCAGAGCTCAGGGAGACGAGGTCTTCTGTCCGGCGAACAGCAAGGCTTCTTTAAGGCCTGGTCTTCAGGGAGCAGAGAAGCCCAAAGTAGTCAGAGCCTAGTGTGCCGCTACAGGCACCCCACTGTGTCAGGCATCAGGGACCTGGACAGACGTTGGGCTCTTGCATCTGTGTGGTGGGGGCACAGAAAGCTTCTGCGTAGGGCGTGACAAGGCCGTGTGTCCCTCACAAAGATGGTTCTCATGACAGGCCAGGAACAGCTCCTGTCGGGGAGGCAGAGTGGACTCACGAGCCCATTAGGAAAAGCATGCTTTTCTTTATTACTTACCAGTTCCGTGATCTAAGTCTCTCCAGTGTAAAAAAAGTCAGTGATTTATTTGGTGTTTCTAGTGCTTAAAAATAAAAGCTTTATTTGTGTCTATTTGTTTACCTTTTCTAAAAGCATGGAAGTGTCTTAAACACCAAGCCCCAGTTTTACTCCCCTCTTAATTCCTGACACATTGCCCCACATCATACGGGTCCCAGCAGCTTAGAATGTCACATGCTGATGTGTGTCTGGGTGTGATTTGTTCTCAGTGTGAGAATTCCTTGTTCTTCCTTGTGAACTCACCTGCTGAGGATTGAACTCTGAAGGTGACAGAGAGCCAGCAAGGGCCGATTCAGCAGTCTGTCTTTTGCATTTCAGAAAGTTCACTCAGATGTGATGAAAGAGGTCTGGCAGGGGCTGGAAAGAATGCAGGGAGACAGAGAGACACATGGACTTGTTAGAGAACCCCTTGGGAGGCTACAACCTAGGAGAGGGCCCACCTGGAGAAGCATAGACATGACCATGGGGTCAGAACTCTCCTTTTGCATGGAACCATCTGTGCTGGGCTCAGGACACTGGAAGATGAGAAAGTGTCAGACTCCGCCTATTTATAGTGGGGGTGGGGTAGGGAAACGAGGCACAAAGAGACAAAGTGACTCATGGGCCAAGGATTTCTGACTTCAGGGCCTCCTCTCAGTTAATGTGAAAACCAGACTCCACTTAGGGAGTCATGGAATGGCGGGGGTGGGGGGGGGGGGGGGGGGCTTTGGGGGGGAGCTGGGGTGAGGGGGGCAAGGCCCACCTGGAGAAGCATAGACATGACCATGGGGTCAGAACTCTCCTTTTGCATGGAACCATCTGTGCTGGGCTCAGGACACTGGAAGATGAGAAAGTGTCAGACTCCGCCTATTTATAGTGGGGGTGGGGTAGGGAAACGAGGCACAAAGAGACAAAGTGACTCATAGGCCAAGGATTTCTGACTTCAGGGCCTCCTCTCAGTTAATGTGAAAACCAGACTCCACTTAGGGAGTCATGGAATGGCGGGGATGGGGTGGGGGTACTTTGGAGGTGAGCTGGGATGAGGGGTCAAGCCTCCTTTGCTCAGCCCTGACAAATGCTCTGATATCTCAGTTTTGACCCTCCCATACTCTAAGAAGGGCTAAAATGAGCTGTAGAGCTTGTGTAATGAAACAGAACAATCGAACAGAAGAAAGCCAAACTTGAATCAGTCAGATGATAATCCACGCCCAGAGCATGCAAGCCCAGGTAAAAATAGATCAGAGAAACTTTCCCAACAGACACGGCTCAGAGATCCTTGCGTGAAAGATGGGAACGATGAAGATGAGAGGGGTTGGTGAGGGTCACAACCAGGAGACAGCAAACTAGCCACTGCCAGCAGAGGCCTGGGACTTGGATGTCATCATCCCATTCTGAGCTGTCTTTGAACACGCTCGGCTCTTGTGCACACACAGTGTTTTGGGTTTGTGAGGCTTTCCTTTGTGAATCAGTATGAACCAACAGCATTACCAGAACATCTGCCTTTGTGGCTTTAATGCAAAGGCACAGCCCGCAGAAACTACCAGCAATCTTTAATTTACAACTGAGGAAGACTAGAACCAGTGGTTGAGGCTGCAGACTTTATCAAGGGCCAAGGCAATGGAACCTCTACCCCAGACTCTTTCTACCCTGTAGGAGGCGGAACTGTAGACTTTTGTATGTTTACTAGTTTCTGTTCCCAAGCACGTATTCTCAAAGGGAAGGTATTAGAGAGCTAGGCAGTTTATTCCCAGTTTATTCCTTCAGCTGGACCTGACCTCTTGGCATACAGATAAATGACTTTCTAAGGAAGTCTTTCAAGTTCTTTGGAAGTTTGCTGCTGTGATGATGGGAACAAACACCATCACTCATGAAATAGCTTTACTAAATGTCCACCATGTAATGGGAATTCTGAAAGCCCTTTATGTCCCTTTCATCTTTCTTCATGTTCCTAATGGGAGGATATAGGTATCAACATGCCAGTCTTTTGTTTGTTACAATGGGAAATAAAGTTCAGGCAGGCTTAGGAACTTTCTCCAGGTCACAGAGTTCATGAGGGTCAGAGTTGAGATTTGACCCTGGTTGGATCCCACTATGTCTAACATCTCAGATGCCTGGTGATGTGGGTTCTACCAGGGACCACATGATCAGTCCCACAATCCAGATTCCTCTGGAGCCTGTCCTCTTTGGCCAAGTGCGGTCATAAGCTCTAGGTAACAGCTGAGGTTTATAAGCCACACTCAGAGGGTCAGGGAGGTGATCCAGGGTAGCAGGGCTAGACTATAAAAAGGCCCATTTCAGAGCATGGCTCATTCTTATTAAAGAACTAATCTCTTTAAAGAAGACGTATGTTTGGTTTACAGATGTAAGGGAACTCATTATGGAAAGGCACAGAAGGAATGGGTATAGGCTTCAGAAAAGGTACAGAGCATGGGTTTTCATTTTTAAGGAAGCTAGCTGGTGGAGATCTCTCCATATTGCATGTAAATGTGCTTGTTCTAACCAGAGTGATCCCTACACAGAGTGAGGCTGTCCTCCAGTGTCCCTGCTGGCATGCCATTTGTGTTGTTAAGTCCCTAGAAACAGGGGGCTCATTACCTGTCACACTATTCTAATTGTTAGAAAGGTCTAGGCTTCACATTGAACCAAGCACCTGCTCCCCAAATGTATCCATCTCTTGGCTGCAGATCTGTCCTTTGGTTTATAGCAACAGAGTCCACTTCCTCCTTGACCAGAAACCTCCTGGATGTTTGAAGACAACTTTTGGTTTTTATACTAGTGTCCTCTAATGTGCTGAGCAGAGTAGTAAGATTGCTCCATGTTATGAGGTGTCATTATAAAACAAACACAACCAACTCTATATATAGCATCTGTGGGCAACCAGGTTAAACCAGGCCAACCAGGTACACTTCCTGCAAGATTTTGCAGGACTTTTATAATGCTACTACAGAGCTTGAATTCAAAAGGGAAATACAGGACATGCTGTTCCCCAGACTTTTGACCTCCCCAACTTTGACCTCGAAACCCTGTTTTTCACCCAGTGTATTTGCTAATTTCTGTAGGTGCTATTAGAAATAATGCTTGGGAAATCCTCCCCATGCAAATCTAGATGCTTATTGTTTTTCCCGTGCTGGAAGGCCGTACTCCTTCACCACTCGTTTTGAAACACAAGTATCGGGATTTTTCTCACCATCTTGTCTTTTTCTCAACTTGGGCTATCAGATTCAAAAGTTGGCTGCCCAGTTATCCTTGAATGCCTCATAAACAAAATAAAAATGTTTGGTCCTAAGGGTATGCCATGTAATATTTGCAACATACTTATATGAAAAAGTATCTACTTTCATATGCAATTCAGATTAAACTGGGCAGTCTCCTTTTTACTTGAAAAACATGACTTCCTCCTGAATTATATAGACCAAGGCAGAGGCAATGAGAGCTTTGGAAGCCTCCTTCAACTTTGCTTTTCCCTGAGACATTTTTAAAGGGGAGAAAATTAAATTTTTATGGATCATTAGAGTCCATTCTGAGGTTGACAGATGCCAGATATCTTTCTGAGTCTACCAGCAAAATCCAGAAGGCCCTTTCCTATCCCTCACCCCTGTTTATATGTAAGTTTTGCTGGATGTTAATTTCAGAGTTCTAAATCCAAATACTATTTATAATTCCCTTTTCACTGTCTATTTCCCCATTTAGACTGAAACTAAGAAAGACAAGGACCAGCCAAGCTTTTTTGTGTCACTGCTGTGTCCCTGGCAGTCAGCACATGCTCAGACATATAAACCTGTCCGCATTTTTTTTAAATGAATGGATGAATAAATTACTCACAAGCTCACTTGGAAAGCTGAATAAAGCAGATCGGTTGGTACTCAGAGGAGAAGAGGTTGTCAACCGTTTTCCTCAGTTTGGGGTATGCCATCCACCCAGACTCCCTCAGACCTGTTCCTGTACATGCCGGTCACCTGCGCTGAAGGCGATTCTGTTGGAAGATGTGCTAAACAAGAACATCTAACTGCTATGACTAAAATAAAACATTTTGACCAAACAGAAGCTGTTTTTAAGAAGTTGAATTACTTCCCGGAGCCTTCAGTTTTTATTGAGGTGTGGAACTTGGCCCTTAAAACAGGCTGGACCATCTCCAGTGGGTGTGGTGTTGGAGCAAATCACACTAGGTCTTCCTATAAGAAATGTCTGGATTTGAGAGGGACAGGGTAGTGTGAGCAAGGACAGCCCAGAAGAGCCTGAACTCCCAGATGGGCAGGCTTGGAGTGGGTCCTGGGATCCCATCACTTCGCTGTGGAGAACTGGACAAGGAACATGAAAGTTTGAGGATTCTTCTCTAAGCCACGCTTGCTAGAGCTCTCCAACCTTATGGCTTGTCAACAGTGACAGCATTCTCATGACTGTCCCTGGAGCAGGCAGCTGCTTATCTGCAGCTTGGCACCTGTGACTTCAGCGCTAGGGAGTGCTAACCCTGACTGTCTACGTTAAATGCAGCTGAAAGCAGACCTACAGAGAGAAGAGCCCTGGGTTTTAGGAGGGCAGCACGGTACAATGGAACTGGTGGTGTTTTCTAAGGATGAGCATGAAAATTGGAATTCAAAATCCAGCTCTGTCCTATGCTTAGGCTAGTCTCTTAACCTCAGTCTTTGAATCTGTGAATTGGAACACTCATACTGACCTTAAGGCTGTTGTGAAGGTCAGACAGCGTGATAGATATAAAAGTCCTTTGTGAACTGCCAAGTGCTGGATCAGCCCAAGGGATCATTTCTGCTCAGGGTCCACTTGAGCACTGTGGTCTTCAGCAGCTTGATGGAGCTGGCATGTTTGCAAAAAAGAACACCCAACTAAGGAGAAAGAAACATGTTCCCCACATAGCCAGCAGCAAAAGGAAAACATTATGAAACTCCTCTTAATTAGGGGAGAAAACATATTCTAAGATCATTTTGGAAAACAAAATGTCAGCAATGGACTCCTTGAGATACCAACAAACCCCTGGGGACCATCTTTATGGCCATATTTTAGGCTCTGGATAAGTCTTTAGTTTACCCAAATGTTTCAGTGGTCTTCCTGGAATTTGTCACCAGCTTTATCCAAGGCCTGCCTGGCTTTGCTGGTAAACAGGAGCCAAAATGTACATAAGTGTAGCTCTAATTCATTGAAGAGAAAATAATGCAGGGTGTTGTGGCTGATAAATTGCCTGCTACTTCCTCCACTGTGAGATGCTACACCCACTGGAGGAAATTCGCAATGTGTAAATATGTGTTTACATGTTACCATGGCAAGGCAACAGGGAACACAGGCATCTTGCTGTGTGAAGCAAGGCTTTGTCATGTCTTCTTCATTGTCACACATCACAGAGCCATTGTTTCATGAATGTTCTACTTCTATGCCCAACACAGTGCCCACCAGGTCCTCACGTCATCTGATCCCCCACTGTTGCCCGTGTTTACTGCTCAGCATTGCCGACTGTGTGCTCAGAGTACTCCAGGCTCAGAGCTGCCAGAGGCTCTGCTTACAACTCTGAGCGGGCACAAGGCAATCTTTATGTAACCTGACATGCCCATCCTCCTCTCCTTGCCCAGGCCAAGAATAGTCAATGATCATGTTCTGGAAGAAACCCCACCTTGTCACTAGATGCTTTGAGCCAAGAGGAGGAGGAACAGTGCTGGAGGCACATGTGAGAGGCCAGTCAGCCAAACAAGAGGAAGCAACAAAGGTGGAGCGTTCCCCTCAAACCCATTGTTTCCCCAGTTCTTGCCTCCAGGACTGGCTTAGGCCTGGTGATACCCAGTGAGGAGTGTGCTCTCTACCCCTCAATGCTCTCTGTCTCTTTCTCTCTGATCTTACACATGTGACATATGTAATATATATGTCTAATACATGAATTACATCTGTGTCCTGAGAAGTAGAGCTTGCCAATGAATTTCTATATGCAAATATGCATTTTAAAGAAAACTCACATGTGCACAGTGATCTTTGGGAGAATGCCTTTATATGAGTAAACATACCTTTAGAGATATCTCAAAATAGGAATCTGATCTCTGTTGTAAATATGTCGGTGGTATAGAAGTGCTCTTGTGATAAAGAGCCAGATCCTAATGTAGCTTAAAACACCCCTCATAGTATGGCCCCCTTGCAGGGATGCCCTACACCCATGTGCCTGTCTTCTCTGTTTACCAGTTGCAGTGACCTTTGCTTGGTTTTTCCTGTGCAAGAGGCTTCCCTTTACCACAGGACACGGGCTAGCACATGGTCTTTCTCCAAGTGGCCTGCTTCCCCCCTTCCCTTCTCTAAGAATTATCTAGTTATCCTTCAACTCTCTGCTGAAACTTCATCTCTTTGGAGGGACCTTTATTGACCACTCAGAATCAGTCATGTTCTCTCGAAACACTCCATATGATGTCTATAGCCCTGTTGTAATTGCAAGCTTACAGATTTCTATGTATTCCATGCATAGCATATATATATATATAATATATTCATATATATCACTGGTAGCATTAGGAAGTGGGTGTGCATTTTAAAGAGTTATCTTTTCCAGTACATACAAATGTAGGTCAAAAATAAGCTGTTTGATTCACCCACCGATCTTTAGTATCTTGCAGTTCTTGGCACACACTAAGATCTCAACAGACATGTATTGAATCACTGGCATATGTACTCACATGGGGAAAGGGGCCAGCATATGAACCTGTGTGTACTTAGTAGTGTGACCATGATTACATGATGTGGTATGTTTACCTACTAGGAGGACATGAAAGTGTACCTAGGACCCTTTGTTTATGTGTAGTGAAGAGTATGTAAGACTCTACATAAGTGTACCTTTTCCTAAGGAAGTGCATGTAAAAAATGCAGGTGTGCATACATCCATATAAAAATGCATGCATGGACATCTTTCTTCACATGCCTATAGGCATCTTCCTTTTCTGATACTATAGCAGAACACTTGAAACACTTTATAAAAAGAAAAGAGGCTCATGACTCTGGAGCCTGGGAAATCTAAACTGTTGAGGCTTTTGTAATGCTTCAAGGTAGATGGACAAATAGGTGTGTACACATCAGATAAAACAGAAGGGACAGCCTGACTTTTTAAATACATGTTCTTGTGAAAATGAACCCATTCACTGGAGAAGAACATTATTCTTCCTTAATAACCTAAGCACCACTTAAAGGCCCCACCTCACAAGACCACCAAAATGGCAACAAAATTTCCATATGACTTTCAGAGAAGACAATGTTCAAACCACAGCAGCATCCATGTAAGAGTCTCTGTGTGTGCTTCCTTGGGTGTGTGCATGTGTGGGGGTGTATGTATATGTGTGACTCATGCTATTCTCTGCAACTGGGCAGGTCTCCCTTCAGATTTCTAAGTAAGAACATTTATGTAGATTAGACGAATTGATTCATATAGTCCTTAGTGTGGTATGACTTAGCCCAAGGCAGACTTGTGAAGGAAGGAGCCCCGGATAAGAAGCCTGGAATTGAAGCAAAATTCCTTTCGTTTCCTGAGCTGCCATGGCCCTCCAGCCACATACAGAAAGTTGGAGACTGGGTGACAGTGATGCTCTTGATGGCTATAACTGCTTAGATGTCAAGCTGCGATTAATCATATTTTTATTAAACACCTCGTGGCTGGAGATACTTTATTATCATCTTTTATAGTTGTACTTTGTCATTATCAGTTGTTTCCATCTGTGTTGTTTTATTAGAGAACACAAAAAAATTATGACTGTTTCTTTGACGAATGATTACTTGTGTAAAAACATGCAATCATGAAGTACGGAGTACACACATTCCAACATTTTGTGCACACAACTGTGGTCCTGGGAGCATCTGTCCCGTAATCCTCTGGGGAACCTGAGGCAAAATACAGTTTTCTGGTCTCCAATTGCAATACTATTAGATAGGAATTTCAGAGCCGGGACAAGGGTATATATTCTCTCAGGAAATTCTTTTTCTTTCAAAATCATTTTTTGTGTTCTGGAAAGTTTGGGATCCATTGTAACAAAATAAAACGCCTTCAGGAAACTCTTAACTGATACCACTACTCCCCCACCCCATGCTATAGGAATGTTTTTAGGGCTGGCAACCTGATGCTATAAGGCAGATTTTCTACTCTTGCAGGCTGAGGATGCTGAGTGAAGATTTGGGCTTAGAGAGCAACACTGTGGGCAATGAAACAAGAAACAAGGCCTGAAATTTGGTGAGCAGAACTGACATTGCAATACATATCAGAACAACTGTGAGTTTCTAGAAAAAAACACAAGCAGCAGGAAAAAAAAAAAAAAAAAAAAACAAACAAAAAAAAAAAAAAAAAAAAAAACCAAAACCCCCAACAAAAAACGCCACAGGCGTCTG